TGCGAATGAGAAAATTTTATTCAAGTTGCTGAAACTTTATACTGAAGCCAGTTTTGATTTGTGCATAATTTACTGCACTGAAGAACATAGGGCCATAAGAAGAATATATTTTACCACATTTTGGAGAGCTGAGTAAATTATAATGAAAACCTCCACAGGTGTATTGTTTATGAATTTAAAGCTTAATAGAACTTTAAACCTTAAATAAAAACTGATGAAATTGGGTTCGGTATTATCATAGGTTTGCGTGAGTATCTGCATTTGGTTTACTAATCACACTTGACAGCCCAATACTATTACCATTGACCTGAGTTGTCGGGTTAGTGTTAGACCTGATCAGGAAATACTGTTTCATGTGGTTTGTGCTTTCTTACATCGCAGAGTGACAGTTCCTTAGGTATTGCTCTTAAAAATATTGTTTTTATTTATGGTTGAAGCTGGGGGAGAGATAAGTGGTGGAAAAGGAAAAAGTTCTCCTACCTGCTGGGTCACTGCCCCGAACACCCAGGACAGTCTAAGCTGTGAACTGAATCCAGGTGCATGGCAAGGACAGAGCTACTAGTCATCTCTTGCTTCCTCCCACAATGCACATCAGGAGGAAGCTGGGGCACAGCCAGGACTCAACTCTAAGAACTCTGTGAGGGATGCAGGTGTTCCAAACATCGTCAAGTCATACGCCAAAGGTTTGCCCCACTGGCTGCTCACTTTTTTTCCTAGTATGATATACTAATTCCTGGGAACATTGTTGGGAATTAAACATCCACTGAATTCAAAAGTAATTACCTTTTTTTATTTCAACTCTATAAAGTATACAACAGGCACTCGGCAATTACAGCTGCAGGAAAAATACAGAGCAAATCAAAGCAGATTAAGTTTATGAAAAAGTTTTTAGTCTACATCAAAAGAGTGCAAGTGGTCAATGACCATTTGATGACAGTTTGTTGCATTCTGACTAACAAAGGAACAAATTGTAAGAGGACAAAGAACCATAGCTGTAGAAAACAAACAGAACCCCCCCCCACCAGTTGTAAAAACATGATACAATGAAATAAATTTGATATATGATGCTTAAAGAAATGTCCCTTTACTCAGAAGGCTCAAATCTCTGAGTCATTGTCAAGGTTCTGGACCTCTGTCTGTTGATGCAAGGGCAGATAAAGAGAAGGGCCACAACACACTTTCAGTGTTTTAATTTCTAGGTCTGCTGAAAACTTGTTTTATATGTGGTTTGCATATACAAGAACTCAGAGAAAGCATCCTGTTTTGTTGAGTGGTGCACCAAGGTGCTTTTTTCATCACTGGTTTCGTAACGAGGTGTGGTTAGCTGTCATTTCCAATTTTTCTTCCGGTTGGACAATTTGGTAATGTAACTTAGAAAATGAGATATGTTTGAACTTGACTGCATTAATTTTTTTAAACTGAATTTGCACAGCTTAGCATAACAGGAATACCTGTATACAGACTGATAGTATGTCATATATTAATTTGACCTGCACATACATTTATACATTTCACAGAAATGACGCTGTATCATTAACAGATACACAGCTCTGGTACATTTAACAGAAATAAGAGAACAATTTCATCATTTCTGTAATTCATCAATATTATATAATAAAGGCTTATAAATTGTTAGCAGAAAGAACTGTAAAACGGAGCAAGCTAAGAAAGGACAACATTTTGAGGTGTGTTTGTCTTTGTCATGCAGCATAACACCAAATTTTTGTTTTGTTTTTTAAATAAGATGCAATGAATTTAAGGCACTTGCAACAATGCCAGATAGCCAGGTCATGTTCTAAACTATGGGACGGATGAAGAACACTACAGTTGACATAATTCTCAATAATACTGACAAGGACATTAATTCAAGTCTACTTGGACCTAAAAAGATTATTCAATACAAATAAAATGAAATAATAATGCTGTGAAACACTAAAAAAAAAAGTTATATGTACCACCAAATATCACACAAAAATATCTATTTACATAAATATTTGTGGTCCTATTACAAAAGAAAACATTGTTATGGATAATGCACAAATCACCTCTATTGTAGGAAATCAATTCTAATCTCCTTGTTTTCAATATGGTAGCTGATCTTTTTTTAAGTTTACCATCAGTTCAATTATTTAGAAATGAAACAAAATTCAGGAATTGAGTTTATATATAATTTTGCATGTGTAATTCACACACATATTCCATAAGTAAAATCAGCACTTCTAAAGAATATAATCAAAATAAATGTTTTAAATGCTAGAATTAGCTAATTTATATCTTAAAGAAGAAACATAAAACCATTTATAGCAATTTTCCAGAAATTGTGTTCTCCATCTCAAACACTTCCCGCTCCTTCCCTTGACAGTTTTCAGTTTTCTTGTGAGTCAAGACAGACAGAAAGCCCTTCTTTCTCATACTGCAAAGTATTAACAAGAAAGTCAGTTAAAAAACCCAACAGGTTGGCACTATTCTAACTTCTCCAGATGTTCTTCAGGGTAAGGAAATAGAGGGGGTCAGGAAAAATTTAGATTAACGTGAGATGTACTTTATGAAGCTGGTCATGAATTTTAGCCCTAGTGTCTTCAGCAAGACAAGATTAAATCCTTAAAAAATTAATGTGTGAAAATTAGATGAATGGTTTCTGTTGCAAGATGCAGTTCACCTTTATTTTTCGGGTGATTGCTACAGGCATTCTAATGGAATTCCATGGGTGAAATGAAGATGCAGTAACAAGTGAAAAACAGAACAAAGATACAGTTACATTGTGCTGAATGCTACTTCTTCCTTCTCCACAGAACTTGCACCCACAGGGCTGTCTTTCACTTGAACCATAGTGCCACAATCCACAGGAAGTGCTCATCTTGGGCACTTGAGGATATCTGAAAAGTCATGGGGGTAGATCCGAGAATATTCTCGCAAATCTTTGGCATATTTAAACTCTCCTGTCTTTACAAAAATTACTGAACATTAACTATAGTTACGTTAGAATTATGTTTTTATAGCCCAATGAAAAGGAATATAAAATTTCTAAGACGGCATTCATAGCTAGAGTTTAGGTTGATATGCTCAACTTTATATTCTAAAATCTGCAAAAAGAAAATGGGTATTTTGGGGGGGATGATCAATTGCTTTTAAGAAACTGTAGGGGAGGGAAAACTCCTATGATATAATAGGAATAGTGGCTGATCCAATTTGTTACTGAGCCTCACTGGTCACATGTAATATATCCTTAGTAGTTTTATCCTCCAACTTTGAGTATATTTTCATAAGCTCTTCTAATGTAGTTTTCTGCATGAAAATTTAAAATCAAATTTATACTATGTGTTATTAGCTAGAGTATGATGACATAATTGGACGTTCGTTTTTTTTTTTTTTTTTTTTTTTGCAGAAATGCCTGTGTTAGATTTTTTTTTTAACATTTTCCCTAGTGGAACAAAGCAAATCTCTATGTAATATACCAAACTCACAAGCGATTCCAAATCAAGATGACAGCCTGGAAGGTTATGCATTTGTCTGCGTACATACAGTGCTGTTTGTCCAGGTAAAGCTTCCAAACAGCTCTGTTAGTAATGATGTCATCAGTGGTCAAACGTTCTGCTGGAGGGGACTCAGCCTAATTTGCTGACACTTTACCCCAGGTGGAAAAAGCAAATAAGTTTGATATTTTCCAGTCTAGTCTTTCCTACTTAGTGTGAATTTTCCAGATTATAATATTTGTGTTTTTCCAGCTGATCTTTATTTTCTCAAGCAGAAAACTGGTACTGATGTCTCATTTGCTGTTGCGACAAGTGCATGAACTTGGCCAGGTCCTTGTCTTGTTTCCTGACCTTAATAGATAGAATTCTTATCTGGTACATCTTAATTCTGACTTTGTGCTTTCTTTTACTTATTTATTTTTTTGGTTCAGGCCTAAGACAAGAAGCTAGTTCCAAAAGTTTTGTAATTCCTTTCTCTCTCCACTCTAGATTTATTACGTGTGAAATCTGACAGAAGTTGGTTTGATAAATTTTGTGAAAATGTTTGAGTCTCTGGCTACACATGTAATGATTAAAATTTGTGTTGTCTGTTTAGACATTGACATTACAGATGAAAGATACATAGCACCTATAGTTATTTATTTTTTTGGATGGGTCTTAATCCCTCCCACCCTACCTATCCCTACCGCATGGGTTTATTTTATAAAAGGGAATATTTTAAGCCTCAGTTTGAGGGTTTGTTAGGTAATAAATAAAACCAATTAGCTGCTAGTCATTTAATCCCAGGACCATCTTTAAGTACAATACTTTTTAAAAATATGAAACGGTGTTGTGAATTGCTTTACTAACCACTCTGTCATGCCAATTTATCAAAAAAAAAAAAAACCAAAAACAAAAACCAAGTATCATGCATTGTTTTTCAATCCTCTGTAAAATCGCATATATGCCTGCCATGAGAGGACTCCGCATACCCCAGAGCAGTTGTGCTTATATCATCAATTTTTAAAATCTGTCAGAAAGAAAAGGTAACATTCAGTCTTGTCATCACTGCTGGGAAAGAAAATCATGAAACTTGTAGCACTGGTTTGACATGGACACCGTGACCCACAGATACGTGGTCCTCTTGAGTACGGTATATACACCAGCTTGCAGTAACAGATCCTGCAGCCTTCACTTGAAGAAAGGGAATAGCCCTCTGTACCATGGTCATCTAGCGTACCCAATGTATGACTCTTTCCTCCTCTTGATGGTTCTAACAAGGTACAGACTCCTGCTAGACGCGTTTCCTCCTAGAGTCTTTCACAATAGAATCAGACCAAAGCAAGATCATTGCAACAGTAGAAAATATCTCTTTACTGGTGAAAGGCTTTGCTTCAGGACCACCATGTCAACTGCTATTGTAGATTCAAACAGAAAACATGTAAAAAGCACTATTGTCATCTAAGCAATAAGTCCTAATGCCACTGTAGTTACTGGAGCAGCATCAATCAAAGGCATCATGGTGACCCCGAGCACGAATCTTCTCTCTTTCCCTCAGGTTTGCTGGCAGCTGTGTCTCGGAAAAAGCTGTCTTCAGCAAGGCAGAAGCAGGTAAGAGAAATGCATTAGAAGTCTATGTCCCAGCCCGAGTTGTCGTCAGGCGGCGGTTCGTCGTTGTCCTCAGGGAAGCTGTCGAAGTTGCTTGTGTCTGTGGGAGAAGCAACCTGGCAAACGAGAGAATGAAATCTAAAATAGTCCCCTTTCAAAACAGGATTGAGATGAAGTTTCTATATTCAATCCTTATCCAGTGATTTTTTTTTTAAACATTGCACTTTGTAATGGGATGATCAGTGATAAACAGAGTTCTTAGCCAATGAAAGTGTATTCTAGTGGTAATAAATTATTTACTACATAGTTATAAAATTCAGTTGGTGCTATGAAAAAAATGATACAATGTTAGAGTATAACAGTGTTCTTGCATAGCTTCTGTGCTGTTGTATTTTAAATCTAAAAACTAATGTGTTCAATAAAGATGGAATAATAGATTCTAAGGTCTTAAGATGCAAGAGAGCTCCATGCTCTGAAGATCAAGAACAGACCTCGTGAGCGCTATGGAGGTAGTGCGACGAGGACTGCAGGCTGCCTAGGCTGGGGAAGCAGGTAAGAGCCTGGCGACGTTTCTAAGTATTATGCAATTCCATTTCTAAACTCGAACAAAACTCCCATGCATTTACCGAGGCCAGGATCATTCTGCAGAGCTTTAGTAAAAGCCCACTGAATACTAGTGTGGCATAAAAGGAGAATCCTGATATATTTAAGTTAGGATAAAGTTGGTATACTATTTATCTCTTCTACCACCTTTCTTTTGTTCTAAAAGCAAAATTTCATGCCATGCAGTTAACATTCATAATGTGAGACATGGTAATGGCAGTCTTGCTTGGTTTATCAATAAAAATCACTGACATAAAAAACGTTAGAATGGCACAAACTTTCTGTAGAAAGTAGAGTGCTTTGATAGCCCCAAGGGGGAGGACTGACATCAAATGTCCAGGGAGCAGGAAATAATTCTTTCCCCCTTGAAATGCCATACATTGTATGAGATGTGGTGCTGCTCAAAAATTAAACATAGTTTTGAACTAACTGCATTTACCACAACCACCATCAACAACCTGAAGATAGCTAGAGAATCTTTCAGAGTCTGATGGAGGGATGCAAGGACACAATTGTGTCTGGAGCGCTTCCCATTCAAGGGGGAGGGTAGGTCTGCAGATGGAGCAGCGCTGGCCAGGAAAGGAGGCTACTGAAGCTAGCTGCTGCGGAGTTGTTAAACTCCTTGGTGTACACCTGTATGAGTTTACCTATTGTAATTACCTTATCTGAATGAAAGTTACCTTTTACCATGAAACATGTACAGGAATTTATCCCCCACTGCTTGGATTTTAGGATATAACAGTATGTAAACATGATCATGGTATATAACTGTAGGAATAATTAACAGATTTTTATTGATTATATATGTACCAACAAATTTATCACACAATTACAAGCTGGACCATCTACTTACGCTTGGTATTATAGGAGGTGTCAAGGTGCCTTTTCTTAAACCTTCCCAGTTAAAGCCCTCAAACCATCTAGAAAAGGACAAAAGGAAATGGGTAAAGGTGTTTTGTCTTCAATTAAACTCTTGTCAATACACTATAACATGTTCTCATGGAGAGAAAGAAGTTACATATTTTTATGTGATAAACGGTCACATACTTAATTTCTAAAAGTATAACAGTCAAATTTAAAACATCAGTTAACAGATAACATTTTTCCCTTCTAATTTCAGACATGGTAGCTATGTGACCTTGTAACTTCCATTATCATTATAATACAATGGACATTACAATATGGTTGGCTGAGTGCCTTATAGACCATTTTAAATCGGTAGAATCGAGGCAAGAAAAGTCAGGACAAAGTAGCAACTTTCTATCTCTTCCTGATTCAGTGTGCAGTGTTAGCTAATTCACGTTTTTCATTTCACTATAGTGGCTTTCCCCTATCCTATTGTTTTTAGTAGGGAGAAAATACTTGGTAAACCGGTTGCCAAAACCATACTACTTTTCTGTAAAAATGAGCACTAAATAGTACAGCATGAGGTTAATCTATTTTTGTGAGTTCTTAGAAGCATATGCTAACAGTGAAACTATTCTATCATCAAATTTCTAAAAGACCTTCGAGATATTCATTGGTATTTGTAAACAAGTGCTTTAGACAAGGATGTAAATGTCTTGTCTAATCCAAATGTGGCTTAGCTTTAGAACATCAGCCAATATAGAGGAGGCCTGATGTTTAAGGTTGTATAGTTACTTAAAACAATTGTACTCCATGCATATTCTCTTGTCATTTTGTCCAACTGGACTGTGGCTGGAAAATACACACCTTGTCTTCATAGAAAAGGCAGCACGATAGAGTGGATGAGTTTGGCTTTTCATTTTCTTATGGTAAATAGAATCAAATCTTAAACATTTGTTGTTTTTGGTTTATATTAGAAATAGAATACCAGTCAGTATGAACTGGGAGCAACTGAGTTCAGGAGACTTGCCCTCTGGGACACCATAAGGTCAGGAGATACGTCTAAATAAAGCTATAGACACACACGAGAACTGCCTTTCAAAGGCTAACTGGCCTATACTCCATCTTTGCATGAGCTTAAGGACAATTCACTTCAAAGTGTTTTTTAGGTTTTCTAAACATTGAGATAAAAAAGATTTTTTTTTCTTAAAGCACTTACTTGTGTTTTTGAATGTCTTTCACTCCATTTTTCAAATTTCCTAATCTTTCTGAAGGGTTGTCCCTAAAAATAACATAATAATATTGTAAGTAATGTAAATTTTCCACAAAGATCCTTTCAAAAAATAAGGTATTTGGAATACTGACCTGCATAGTTTTTTAATTAAATTAGCAGCATTTTTGGCAATCTTCTTTGGAAACTCTATCATATCAATCCCTCTCAATATGATGTTATAGGTTTTCATAGGATCTGGGCCTGAGAAAGGCGGGCTGAGAGAATCAAAGACATGATGAGAGAGATTAGTGCACTTTTGTAAATAAGAACATTTATAAAACTTGCTTGGGAGTGAAATCCTGTGGAAGTTTTGCCAAGTCAATCATCTACTCTTCTCCTCACTTCTTTCTAGTGGAATGTCTAATGAGTCCTGCCCTCTCAGGTCATTAAGATGTTTCTTGAACTCTCTGGCCCTTTTTGAGGGGGCACTGATTTACTCACCAAATGCAGCTGGGATGTTGTGCAGCACCATTAGGATGGGCCGTAAGAATAACAGCGCCCGTCCACTGGGTGGCATCACCACCCTCACCTGCTGGAATCCAGTTCCAATGGCCATCTCTCCGCCTCCCTGAATCACCAGGCATGTTTGCACCTCAGGAAAGTACTTCTTAGGCCTGGACCTCCTGCCTACCTTTATCTGGCAAATCAAGTCTCAGGCTCAGTGTTATTTTGCTTTCCACAAAAGGATTGCTCTGATCCACCTGATACAACGGGTAATAAAAGCTAGTTCAACCTGATATAAACTTCACACCATTGGACTTTGACTTTGTAGCTACCTCTTCCTTTGCACAATTTCTTGCTTATATTTTCTCTTCCCTTCCAGATGAAGTTATACTCCTCTGTAGTATTAGCAGGGTATAGAGCAATTCATACGCGATTCATCAATACATTCTTGTTAAACAGATGCTTTTATAGAATTATCCTTCTCCTATCATACCCTTCCTGTTGGTCAGTTCTCAGTAGGTAACATAAGGTATCCGCTATGCTAGTAAGGATGATTTGACTTTGTCCGTTTTATACCTGTCCATCCTTAGAGTGTAGCTTTATGTCAGGTTCAGGAAAGACAGTTCCCTCCTTCAAATTTCCCCTAGCTCAAAATGGGCATTGTAACACAACTTCCTTGGAAATTTATTATTCTGTGAATGCAGGACTTGTATCACTTTGGGTGAGCAAACAGTTATTTTCATTCCTCATGCTGATTAATAAGATGAAACTAATTGTTAGTGAGCATGCTAAAATAAGTCCTGAAAATATGGAACAGCAGATTTTCAAATTGGCAAACAGTGTCAATGTACTTTTCAGTGATGCTATGATTGAATATTCGCTTCACTTTGAATTTACCAGTTTTGAACTTTACATTAAAAAATGGAGAAAAATTGCATCTTTAATTTTTGTCAACAATTTAATGCTTTTTATTTTATGCTTTTTGTTTTATATTCATTTGCTTCTTTCAGAGAACTAAGATCATTTTATAATTGATACAAAGTAGTTTTAGGTTTTATCTTTACTAAAAGAGCAAGAATCAACCAATTGCCCCAAATATCACTAATGGTCAATAATTAATGAACATAATTTTATACATTCCTCTAAGTGGATGGAGGCACACAGGACTCTATACATATGTGTGTGTATACATATATAAAAATATATTTATATATATAATATAATATATACATATATAATATATATGATATATGTGTATATTAAATATATATTAAAAAGCCAAATATTGGTTTAGTTTTAAGCCAATGGATAAAGTTCAAACAAATGTCTTTGAAATGTTACTCACCACTCAAAAATGTAAATCCTAAGTGATTTCTCTAGAATTCGGACAGGCTTTAAGAAATCTAATCAGCTTTTTAAATATTTCAATGATAAACCATCATGACTAATAATTTGAAATCAATATACTTTCAGTTATTTCTATCTTCTCCCTTCCACCTTAATTTTTGTTGGTTTTATTATTATTTTAAGGTTAAAGATTTTATTTGTACTCGGTTAAGAAATCCAAACTTAGATTTCTATTAATCTAAGGCCTAATTTAGATTTCAAGCCCATCATCAATTGTTTTGCCAGCTCCTTTATTTTTAAATGCTGTATCACATTTTGTTGTTGACCTGACCACTTACTGGTGTTTTTGATAGACAAAAATTTTAATTGATACGTTTTAAAGAAAACTCGGTATGTGTGACTTGGCTTACACTTTCTGACTTCCTCCTTAAGGACTATGTGGGATCCATCTATGGACTCCTTTTGACATTGCAGGTGCAGCAGAAGGCTGAGAACAATCAGAACTCTAATCCTCTAACCACTCGAGAACTTACATCATATGCTTTTAGGACTTTGATATCTGTATGATTATTCTTTATCATCAAATTTAGGAAATTACATTTGGACACAATGTGATGATATTCTGAATCAATTTCCCTATTGTTATTGTGGATCAAAAAAACCCCAACTCAACTCTGATTTGAGTTTTATATATTTTCTGGTCCACTTGAAATATGCCATTCATATGCATTTGTTTTTTTCTATCTTTTTCAAGCATATCTACTACCACCCTGTGTTTGTTTTGACTTGTTGTTCTGTTTTATATTGCTTGCATGACTTTCAGTTCTGGGGTGTTTGGAAACTGTGCTAGTTTACTTCTACTGTCAAAGGAAACTGGAAGGTGTGTTGGAGATTACCCTCTAGAGTGATGTTGATTTCAACATCTTCAAATTAATTATAGGTAAAAATCTATTTCTTTAATTTCTCCCATGAGTTCTTTGATCGCCATTTACTTATGCATCTTATTACTGAAATTAACAAAGCATCTACTTAAACAGATTAAAGTAACAGGAAATCATGTTCATTCAGTAATTATTTAGTGGATATGTGCTTCAGGCACCGAAGATTGTCCTCTAAGATTGAATGCTGAAATCTCCCTTTACCTGCTCGATTCAGTGTCAGTCACCAGAGGAGTGCTGTGTGACTGGAATAGATGAACTGAATCTAAACTTAAATCATTTTCTGAGTGAGGAGGGCACCTGTGGATCCTTGAACATAACTAGGAAGAAAGGAGTGGAGGTGTGTGTGGTGGGAGGCTGTGATGGTGAGAGCTTTAGGGACTGGATCAGCTATCCTGAGGAAGACAACAGGCCAGCTTGGAGGGCAAATGCTAATGGGAATTCACCAGCTTTCATTAGGACTTGTCTTATAAAAATCGCACCGCATGATTAATTTCATTTTGTCTTTTTTTTTGATGGGAGAAGGGGGGGCAACATTCGGGAGGTCATGCGGCTCATAGTGAAGCCCAATCATATTCCTTTAATCTTACAATTACTGTCCCTTCTTCCCCTGGATCGCCTTCACTTTCCAGGCCTTCCAAGGGAGGATTATACAGCTCTAGGGGTCCCCTTTCTCTGCTACTCAGTGGGACTGAAGAGGGTCTCTGGCGAATATTTCTTGTTCTTAGATCCATCCAGTGCTCTAATTGCTACCATTGCAATTGCTAATCAGCAATAATGACATTCAGGATAGTAATTCTTTTGAGTCACAATAATGGTTAAAGGAGGTTTGCCAGCATTGTTCCCAGTCCTCTGCCACACTACTTAGTGTTGTTACATACCTTGCAACAACCATCCTGCCGGGTCTATTCTAACTTTCTCCCACCTCTGCCCCTGACTGCCACCATCACCTCATGGGGCCGAGGGAGCAAAACTGAATAAACTATTTTTACTCTGCAGTCTGACAGTCTTCTCTCTCTCTCTTTTAAAATTTGTTGAAGTGGGTGCTGCTTAAGCTCATTTGTCTGTAATCATGATGAGTATTTTTTCATGGTTCTTGAGTGCACTCTACCAAGTCAATGGGAAAAAACAGCTTATTTGCATACAATTTTTGATAGGAGCTGGAGTTGTGCAGCATGTTGAGCTGCTGCTTGTGGTGGCAGCATCCCGTATCAGAACACTAATTTGAATCCTGGTTACTGTGCTTCTAATTCAATTCCCTGCTAGTGCATCTGGGAAAGCGGGAGCAGTCGGCCCAACCACTTGGACCATCGCCATGTAGGAGATGGAGCTACAGGCTTCTGGTTGGACCAGCCCAGGAAATGGTAGCCAATTGGAGAGTGAACTAGTAGATTGAAGAGCTCTCTATTTTTCTGTCACTCTTCTTTTCAAATAATTTTTTAAAAAATGGAACAATCATTTCTGTAATAACCTCTTTCATGAAGTTTTTAAAGTTTATCAGTGATGCTCAGGTTTTTTTTTTCATGACCTTCTTGAGCCCTCATACCTATTTAAGTCAGTAAGATTTTCAGTTTGGGCCAAACTATAAAATTTTGATTTATTATTTCTCTGATGCTTTATAAATTCTATGACCCTGTGGTTTAAACTTTTCTCTTTTAAAATTTGCTATTTCTAGTTTTTATTACATTCCAGTGAGATACTGTGATCTGTAGAATTTCTGCTTTACAAAACAAAGGATTCTTCTCTTAAGGATTTATTACATTTAAAACTAGAATACACTAAACTGTAATTCTAACAAAATTTTTAGATACACTTCTAAACATAAAGAATGATGTCATTACTAACATTTTAGCTCAGTTAATTGACTTACATAGCACACTGGGAAGATTAAATTTCCATGTATACTGAATTGCAACTTCTCTGTTCTACAAATCATCCCAGTATTTGTTCACTGAATCTGCAATACATTTAAAATGGCCTCCTCTAGAAAGAGACTATTAAAAATCTGGATTGCATCAGATAATCTGAGATGATCATAGACACTTCAAATGTACCTATGGATTTCCATTTATGGGCATTTCACAAGCAACATTGTTTTTAGCAGTGTTTTTAGCACTACCAGTGGCGGTCAGCAGTTACGGAGTGGTTACCATGCACTGGCAGTTCGCTAAGTCTTTCATATATTGTTCCCTTCCTTTTTACATCTTCCTTTCTTTCCATTCTCGTTGCCCTTTTCTAGGCCCTCAGTGTCCTAGACTTAAATTACGGGAATAGCCTTCAAAGCAGCATTCCCATTCCTCTTGCAATTTTCCATACACATAACTTCCAATATGCCACACATTCCATTATCAGAAAATACTCAATAATTCCCTCTTTATAAGGAATCCAAGCACGTAGGTGCAAGCAGTCACAAGCCTTGGAGGTGACTCACACTTTTCTTTTTTTTAATGATTCATCTACGTTTATGGGAAAGTCGGATATACAGGGAGGAGGAGAGACAGAGAGGAGGAGAGACAGAGAGGAAGATCTTCCATCTACTGCTTCACTCCCCAAGTGGCCACAATGGCCAGAGCTGAGCTGATCCAAAGCCGGGAGCCAAGAGCCTCTTTGGGGTCTCCCATGTGGGTGCAGGGTCCCAAGGCTTTGGGCCGTCCTCAACTGCTTTCCCAGGCCACAAGCAGGGAGCTGGGTGGGAAGTGGGGCTGCCGGCATGAGAACTAGCACCAAAATGGGATCCAGGCGCATTTAAGGTGAGGACTTTAAGCCACTAGGCTACCTCGCCAGGTCTCTCCCATTACCTTTTCCATGCACCATCTCTACAGTCAATGGCTTTAAGCCAGCCCTGTGAGGAATTCTCTTTCCATTGTCTTCTGCACCTGGGTTCAACTCATGTTTTACAGCCTAGCTGGTGTCTCACATTCTCACAAGTCTCCCTGAAGAAACCTGTGCTCTTCTGGACGCTGTAGATCATACTGCTGTTATTCCTTGCTCTCCCAGTCACATGTTATGGTGATTTTTTTTTTTTTGAGCATGTAGCATGTTCTTACACCTTAAGATAGCCCTACTACTTTTTCAGTTGCTGATGATTGTAATATTACAGAGAAAACGTTGAAAGCATTCCCATAGCATTTACATACTATGATTGCTAACATGTCCTCGTCTATGGAAAATTGATACTGATAGTTCTATCACTTACCTTGCTTCATTTTGGCTAAATCACTAAATTCAAATGTCTGAAACATATGCACTGCATCTTTCACACTCACATATTATTGCTAATTCATCCTACGTAAGAACAAAAACTGACATTTCATTGACTGACCTTCCCTAATCGATTTTGGAGCCTGCTTTTATGATTTCCTGGGCATTTGAGAAAACAGTGTTACCGAGATGCACTGAAAGGAGCTTTAGCACTGTTCCATCAGAACAACAACAACGTGGTTTCGCAGTTCTTAGTGGTTTTTCTTGGCAGTTGCCTGTAAACATTCATACCTGCCAGTCAGAAGTTCATACATTAGGATTCCCAGTGACCAATAGTCAGCTGAAATGTCGTGTCCTTTGTTCAGGATAATCTCTGGGGCCACATACTCCGGAGTCCCACAAAAAGTCCATGTCTTCTTTCCAAAGCCTATTTTCTTTGCAAAGCCAAAATCAACCTTGCAAAGGAAGCAAAATAAGATACTTAAGCCATTTTGGGTTAATATTTAAAACAAGTTACTTTGCTGAAGGACACGGATAGGAGAAACAAAGCAAAGCAAGCCCGTGTTGGAAATGCACCTTCAAACAGAATCATCCATAGTGGAATCAAAGTTCCTCTGCCCAAACTAGTTCTAGAAGGAAAAATACTTTCAAATATTGGGCATAATTTTCACCAGCAACAATACAGGCAACCTTTCCTTTCTGGAAATATCTCTTGCTGCTTTGTGTGTGTGTGTCAACAGGAGCTGTAATATAATCAAAAGCATTTTTGCCTTTCCTAAAAATTAAAAATTTAGCATCTTTCCAAGGAACCACACAATTTGTTCCGGACTTGGTGAAGCTGACAATTCTTTCATATTAATTGAGATGCAACTGTCTTGAAGACAATGAATATCACAGCTACAAGATCAAATACATTGCTTTTGGTAAACATGCACAGATAGAATGAAAATGTATCCTTCATTTTTCTAGAAACATGTTGAGGGGTCCTGGTTGCAGAAAATTAATTTTTTCCCTAAACCAACTGGATTGAGTCTACACTAAGTGCCATTGATTTGATATATATATTTTAAAAAGTGTAAAAATTACCAAAGTTTAAAAATAGAATGAAGCAGTAATCAAAGGCCACAAAACTTTTACATTTTTAAATAACAGAACTTCCATCTGTAGTAAATCCTTAGAACTTTTCATTATTTGTCAAATCATTGTAATCTGGATAATGCTATTATCTATAAGGCTTATTTTTCATCCATTACTGTTATTATTTTTAGTTTTTAATTTTTCATGATCCAGTTCCTTAGGCTCAGGGACCTCCCCTTCCACCTCTCCCCCACTACTGTTATTCTTAAGTCCAGTATATTAAAGTGCCGCAGAGTCTCCCATAATACAGGAATCTGCGGTCTGCGATTCACAGAAAGCTGATCAGGAAAACGCAGGTCTATAAGCTTATGTCGGCAAGTATGTTTTCCAATGTGTCCTAGATTTCTCTAATTTTTGACAGTAGTTGAGGACTGTGATTCTGAGAGTCTAATTCTAGGGCTTAAAAACTAAAACAGATTTTAATGTTAGGAAATAAACGCCGCTTTACGTGTGACGTGCACTAACCAGTTTCGCATAACCTCGGTGATCTAAGATGAGATTCTCTGGCTTGAGGTCTCGATAAATGATTCCTTTGGAATGCAGATACGCAAAAGCTTCTACCACGCATGCTGTGTAAAATCGAGTTGTAGAGTCTTCAAATGAACCTCTGAAACACAGGAAAAAAAGAATAAAAAAGCACATGGCAAAGCGTTATCTCTAGTGAAGTATGTTTTTTTTTTCCCTCATTTAAAATATTCCTGAACCAGCTGAGATACAATGGGAAATGCACGTGGATGGCTTTAGGTGACGTGCAACAAATATCAGCCCCAGAACGCATCGTTCATCAGAGCCCCTTTCTGCCTGTTTGCCTTATTTTAAAAAAGAAGTATTCATTTGAAAGGCAGAGGAAGAGACACAGACATCCATCCACTGTTCACACTCAGATGGCTGCAACAGCTGGGACTGGGATGAACCAATCCAGAAAGCTGAGGTATATGGGTGCTTGGGCAGTGTTTTGATGGGAGGGCACTAAATACTTCAGCAGGGAGCTGAGTCAGGAAATCTGGAACTTGAACCAGTACTCATAAAGGATGCTGGAGTTACAGGTGGTGGTTTAACTCACTACACACAAGGATAGCCCTACCTGCTCACATTCTGATGGCATTTATTTCATTTTTAAAACTGAAGAGCCAACTTGAACAAACTGGGCAGTGGAATGTAGCTACATTTGGACAAATTTCATCAGTGAACCCAAAAGCCTTTTTTTTTTTTTTCAAACTTTGTGTGTGTCAAAGAGATACAGTCTGCATTTCAATTATTAATTTCCCCTGAGTTACCATTGAAATAATCAGCTCTTCCCAAAAGAAATATCTTTCTTTTGAAATGCAGTTTCAGGCATGATGATATCGACTGCTCTAGATACCAGAATCTTAACTGTAATTACCAAGATTCTTGAAACTCTTTCCAATAATATCAGAATAAAGTAATTGTGAATTTATGAGTGCAAGAGAAAGTCTCTTGGAGAAAAACTGCAATTTATGGTGTAATTGTCCTCTGACTTGGAGCTATTGTTGAGAAAAAGATAATGAAGCATTGCCTTGAAGATGAGTTCTCTGTCCTTAGCATATTTTTTGTTCGTCCGTGGCATATTTCTTACAGTAGGGAAACTACTTATCTTAAAAAGCAGCACCCATATGCATATATAATTAATACATGATTTTAACAGCACTGAGCCTGTGACTTTAATCCCTTCTCAGTGGAAAGCATTGCCAAGCAAAACAAAGTAAAGCAGTGTAGGAACAGTCTTATTGAGCTCATATTACATGCCTTGTTTAAATCATCAGATTTTGATTACTTCCTTACTAATCAGAGCTGTGTGACTGTGATTCGGGTTGTCCTCTGTGGATGTTTACAAACGCTTGGTTGGTTTTACAAAATGATTGTTTCTACAGTTGTGACAGAGCAACAGATCTCTGCTCTTCTTAACATCTTACTGTTAATGGAAACAAGTGGACAGATGCATTTTTAATGTAAGAAAATTACATACTTACATAAGAGATGTGTTTTTTTGTATCATTTCTTGCAAACGGTGTGTTTATATCCTGCAGAAATGAGTCATTTAAGCAGGAAGATAGACACATTCAACATAAACTCCCATGTATGAGAGTAGACTTAGGAACATGAATGCGAAGCAGGACCTGGGCTGAGATCTAGGCTGTTCAATTTTGAGCAGCGATCTATCCATCTCTGGGTTTCTGTGCTTGAAAGTGCAAAATAGGGCAGACACAACCGCATCATTAAGTTGTTGTGAGGATCCAAGGAATTGATGAGTTCTTAGAATAAACCTGAAGGCAGTACACCGTGACCATTGTAATCAAATGCCAGAAAACTCTTGTTTGGCATATTGCGTCTTTATCTAGAAAAGTATAGTACAGGTGTCAAGTTTTGGGACTGGAGGTGAAGAATTTGCAGTACTAATTTTCACTGTGAAATGAAGAATTTTTCACTGCCAAGACTGGCTGTTATGAATCAACTCAGAAGAGCCTACTGAGAGTCTGTGTTCTTCTCACTTGCCCTAAACTTCTTAAAAGCATAGAGGAAAAATGACCCCTCTGTTGCCTGCCAATCAAAAGCCTCTTCTTTTTATCATGAAGTGAAGTTACCACAAATCATCATCTTTGAGTGTTTCCACTCTTCATTGCTGTCTTTTGTTTTAAATTTTCTCTGGTCCTGAGTCATTTGGAATTGGGACATTTTTAGAATGCTGGTTTCCATTTCCTCAACAGACCTGGACCTCATAAATAAATCTATTCAATTTTAAACTCTTAAATGAAAACCTCCTTTCAAGCCTTGACAAATCAATACAGGATATGCACACCAACTGTTTACCAGCAATGAAATGGTTCCTGGTAAACATTTGATGTAGGTAATTTGTGGATTTTGAAACAACCAGCTTGAAAGTGGTCAGAAAGAATAACATCAGGGTGGCTAAAAAATGAAACATTAGGATTAGAATTGGAAATGGCAACGCAAATTTGATCTAAGACAAAATAAATAGGAGGAGAAATGCAAAGTGAAAACTCAAGATGAAAACTCTAATAAGCTACTCATTTTCTTTGCTTCTATTCACTTTTCTAATAACAGTAATGACAAAATTCACTCTAAAGTTTATGCATGAAGCATTAATATGTTCAACCGTCAGTTTTTCAAGTTATTTTTGAAAGTAAACTTTATCTCATGTGCTTGCCACTTAATTTGATTTTACATTCTGGGTTTTTCAGTGCCAGCAGCCAAGGCTTTCTGAGTGAAATACATTTAATTTTGCTGGGTAGTCATGGGTGGTCATTAGGAAGCAGCTGGCTTGGGGGAGGAGTAGGTGAGGAGAAAACAGCAGTGGACACTGATTTGTCTACATTGCTTTTTACCGTCTGCCTCCTTCCTTTAGCTTCTGAGTTTGAGATGCAGCATTGCTTGGTTCACCGAGGTACCTAAGTCCATCAGGAAACATTTTCTGCAGAGAGAGCTACTTGGTTCCTCCTAAAATTCATAGATATTGAGGCTCTCACATGTAAAAGCGGGGAAGCCAGGGTGGGTCCTTGGTATAACGGTTAAGATGAATCTTGGGATGGCTGTATGTGACATCGCAGTATCTGGGTTCAAGCCCTGCTTCACTTCAAATTCCAGCTTTTTTCTGATGCCTGCCTTGCAGGAAGAGATGGTTTAAGTACTTGTGGAAGACCCAAATACCAAACTTCTGTTTTGGCCTGGTCTGACCCAAATGTGGCAGCCATTTTAGGAATGAACCAGTGGTTGGATAGTATCTCTGTTTCTCCACCTTTTAAATAACTAAAGTGAACCTCAAAAAAGTGACATGAAACTCTTAGATCACTGCTCTCTCCTAACTTGCTTTCTGCACATGCACTAACTCAGAGCAGCTGATGGCTCAAGCTGCTGGGTCTTTGCCGCCTGTGTGGGGGAACTGGACTGAGTTCCTGGCTTCTGTTTCCCACCGGGTGCAGGCCTTGCCATTATCATTTGGGGAATGAATTCACTATTTCTCCCTCTGTCTTCCAAATAAAAAATAATAGCAATAGTAATAATTTTTAGGAGTGAGTCACATTAGGATATGACAGATATTACTTTGAAAATCATAGAGACCATATTGGTTTTATATATCCCAATATCCCCAGGCTCTATCACAATGGCTGTCAAATAATGGTAGTGTTCAAGTACCCAAAACAAGAATAACGTACGGTAATGTACTGTAACCAACACATGGCTTCTGGGCACATGAGGGTTCTCTACACTGAATCTCAGAAACATATTATGCAATAAGGGAGAATCTAAGGGGCAGGACTAGGACAAGCAATAAATCTGCAGGTGTCAACAGGTGCACATTAAAAAATGACTTGGGAATCATCAGCAGATAATTCACAGCAAGTGATCAAAAGATCATCTTAGGAAAACTTTTTTTCCTTCAATTTCTTAAAGCATATACTCAAGATAGGTAATTATCTCCTAAAATATTTCCTAGGAGAAACTTCAAAAAGATGATTCACTAGTTTCATAAATATGGGATGAAAAAGTGAGATACAGTGGATTTCCAGGATTCAAAACTAAACCAACACTATCCAAATTTACCCTGGAATGGTAGAAAGTAAATATAAATGAGATTATTTACATGAAATATTGCTTCTAAGTGGACTGATGTTTCCTTAAGATCAAAGATCTAAAATAGATGGCTGAAGGTAGGTTAATTTTGAAACCAAAATCATGCTAAGAGTTGAGAAAAATGTTATGCAGTGAGTTTCATACATGAAACAGAAATGCCTCCACAGATAGCAACTCCATTTCCATTTTAAAAACCAGCAGGCTGAAAGTATAAACGTGATTTCTATTTGTGTAAGAATTGACTCTTCTAACAGACCATAATGAGCAAGTCCATTTTTAAAGAGACACTACAGAAATCCAGTGTCTTACCTATCCCTGAGAATGGTCCAGAGTTCTCCGCCTAGGCAAGCTTCCATCAACATATACAAATATTTGCTGTCCTTGAATGTTCTGTAGAGTCTGTGAGTTGCAAATCAGAAAGCAAATGTTAGAAAGATTAGTGTCTTTTCAAAGGATATTAATTTCTGAGTGCCTAGATTGCTTTTTTAGATGTTTCAGGCTGGAAATTTTATGAGGATGGGAGAGGCTTCATCTACAAATGGGCATAAAGACCCAAAGGTTAGTGGCTAAGACTGACACACGATTGGGGCTAATCTTTCCCTTGAAATGGGAAAGACATCCAAAAAACGAAGGGAAACAGGGCATCCTGGAATCATCTCATTTCTGAAGTGGCTGGTATTCTGAGCATGGTATCCTGGACAACTATTTATAGTCATACATAAACGGGGAAAATTATACAGATTAGTTTCCAATCATTGACACGTATGGAATTTATGAATTTTTCACTTAAATTCATGTTATTTTCCAACAAGTTCCACTGGCAAAATGACTATAAAAGCAACATCCCTGGGGCGGGGAGGGGGAATCCCTGTTATCCTCTGGTGAGTGCTTGCAAAGTACTGAGGATGAATGGTCAGCCACCATTTCATTTTTTTTTAAAATGCTGAAAAAGGTAAATACTAGGTCAGTTTGGTTTTTGACATTTTTGTCTTCCAAACAGTTGATGTCTGTGTGGTGTTTTAAGCTAAGAGAAAAGAAAAGTGATATGTTAGCAACTGGAAAAAAAAAAATTTTTTGTAGTCAGTCTGATCCTCCTGACTTCTGCCTGGCTTGGCCCAGCTTAGCTCTGTTGATTGGGACCCTTTGGGCAGTGAACTGGGGTATGGAACATTTCTGGCTTTCTGTAATTCTGCCAATGTCCTTAGTGAAATAAATCTCAAAAAGTACAGAATCAAAACTTAATATTTTTTTTTTTCAAATAAGTAAGCTTCATGATGAGAATAAGAAATCAATTTCTTTCTGTAAAGAAAATGTGTTAGGAGTGACCGGAGCAGGCAGTGGAGGCTGTGGCTCTTTGCTTCCAGCCTTTACCTCACTATGAAATCGGAATGGGCCCCCTGCATGATCTGCTTCTCCGAGCGGATGTGTTCCTGCTGTCTCGTGTCCACAATGTGGCGTTTCTTGAGAATCTTCATTGCAAATGTTTTGGATTCTTCACTTTTCAACTGGACCTTGAGAAAAGGCAGAAGGGACAACTGAGAGAAAGCTCATAGACTTAAAGGAGTGCTGGGCACTGACCGCTCCCAACTAACAGGTGCATGGAGAACTTCATAGAATTCCAGCAATCATTCTTAAGTACTACCCCCCTCCCTCGCACAGTATTTAGCCTCCTAGTGCTCAAAACCCAGAGCTCACAGCCAGCATTTAATACCAACCACTTAATCGGATGAATTTTGCCTATCTGATTTCCAAATTTATTTTCTGTCTACCTGGATTAGAGACCAGAATACATAATTGATTCTCATTGTGCTATTTCATTTCAAATAATGTGTATGAATATATTTACTAATGAATTAAAAACACATATTCTACTTTCATTTCAAGTATGTGGAGGCAAAAATGGGATCCTAGTCGATATTTGTAGAGCTGACAGATCTGTGTCCCTGGAGACCGCTGATGCGTGCCCTGCTGTTTCTTCTCACCGCACAGTCGTCTTTCCCTTCTTGCAGCTAAGTAACAGACAATCGTGACCACATTTTTTCAAGAGATCTTGAAACCTGATTTCTCTCCTCAAACATGTATGATGGTTTGAATCCCCTGTAATCATGTGGGGGGAGGTGCTGGCTGTGCCTTCAAGTCCCCCCTGGTTCTGCAACAGCTGCCATGGCCCCCGGGGGCTCTGTGGGAGGCTTGAGTCTACCCACGGTTATAACTTCAGAAAGGATGCTGCTCTGTGTTCACTTTTATGGGAAATTCCAACAAGCTAACTTGTAAGAGAGAGAGGGGATAGGGCTGAACACTTAGCAACCAAATAAGGGAATTATCATTGGTACTCCCAAGCAGCAAACTCCTTGAGACATGAACATATAGCCCAGCATTTTAGTAACTAATGAAATCTTTAGAGAAGTAATACAGCAAAGTCTGTTTTTCCTGGTTAGTGTACCTGTCCCTTGTTCAGTTGCAAAAATACTGCACAGGCTCAATATGAAGTTCTTAAGTATTTTGTTCATGCCTACATGGTAGATTGAAGTTGATCTGATGGATCAGTTAAGTGGCAAGTTCCTTAGGGGGCAGCGTGAATGAATGAGTTGGTTTGCTGCCAGCCTTTGTGAATGTGTGTGACAGGGAGCAGGGAAATGATCTGAAAATGCCTTTAACAGCCAAAGGTTCCCTACGCTGCAACAACTCCACGATGACAGATTAGTGTGATACAAATGAATTTAATGTTGCTCATGATAGAAAATAATAAAACATGAAAACTCACTTCTCAAAGCAATCTCTATGGAAAGCAAAAATGCCAAGAAAGAAAAGCTATGTTAGTACTAAAACTCACTGGGAAAGGCACAAAACCTGGCTCTGTTCAGAGCCTTGCCCTATGAAATCATTGAGGACTCACAGACAGCTCAGAGGCCTAATGAAAGAACTGGTCACTGAAGGGATGGAATCTGATTTTTCACTTGCACCCAGGTTAGCAGAAAGAAGCTGAACCTTATGGTTCACTGCTCAGGATTTGAATTCCAACTGCGTCTAAGCAACTCATTTAAGAAGCTGAGGGAGATGCCCGCTCCGAGCCCCAGATCTTGCGGCTCTCAGCTATTGTGTTCAATCACTGCTACTTTCAAAGAGAAGGTGCTACTCAGTGGGCACTTACTTAGGATTTCTACTCTTGTACTGTGGTTCTACCCAGAAATCTGTGCCCAGTAAAACAGAAAAAAAATTCTGTCCCAGAGGCATCAGCAGAATTATCTAAAAAGCGCACAAATTGCCCCAAGGCACGCAGGTATCAGGATTTAGATTCAAATCTTTTTGACCTAAGCCACTTACAGTAGCTTGTTTTCCTTCAATTGAATATGAAACAAATACGCAGGGACAGGTATTTGGCATGGAGATGAAGGCAATTATCGCAACTCTTACGTTGAACAACAGGAGGCCAGATCTGAATCCTGGCTGTATTGCACATTCTAGCTTCCTGCCGTTAAATACACTGCAGGTAGCCATGGCTCTAGTGCTTGGGTTCATGCCATCCCCATGGAAGACCTGGACTGAGTTCCTGGCTGGTGGGTATTTTTTTTAAATAAAGATTTATTCTATTTTTATTGGAAAGTAGATACACAGAGAGGAGGAGAGACAGACAGGAAGAAATTCAATCTGTTGATTCACTCCCCTAGTGGCTGCAGTGGCTGGAGCTAAACCAATCTGAAGCCAGGAGCCTAGAGCCTATTGTGGGTCTCCCACGCGGCTGCAGACTCCCAAGGCTTTGGGCTATCCTCCACTGCTTTCCAGTGTCACAGGCAGGGAGCTGGATGGGAAATGGGGTTGCTGGAATTAGAACTGGTGTCCATATGGGATCCTGCTACATGCAAGGCAAGGACTTTAGCCACCAGGCTACTGCGTCGGGCCTGACTGCTGGGCATTTAAACAGTTCACCAACATATGGGAGCTTTCTCTTGGTCTCTCTTGCACTACTTAGTATTGTGATTAAGAATTGACAGTGAAGCCAGAACTATGGCTTAGGTTTAGCTGCCACTCAACAATGCTGCCACTCCACATGGGTGTGAGCTTGAGTCCCAGCTGTTCTACTTATGATCTAGGGAAGAAGCAGAAGATGGCCAAAGTGTTTGGGCTCCTGCCTGGTTTCTATCTTTCCCCAAGCCCAGCCCGAGTTGTTGAGATCATTTGAAGAGTGAACCAAAATGTGTAAAATCACTCTCTCTTTCCTAATCTTGCCATTCAAACAGATAAACTCTCTTTAAAAAAAAAAGTTCATAGTCACTTTTGCAAAAGATACTAAAACATCTTTGGTTTGGAAGAAATTGACTATCTGATCTACATGGTAAAATGCTTTTGTAAATTCCAGGCTTAAACTGTATCACAGGGGACATTATTATTGCAAAGTCCTTTATAAGATGGGTCAACTTATACATACAGCAAAGCACAACTCTCCTCGGTCCTTGCCCTTAGACAGGTAACACTCTAGAACAAAGGTAAATAAGTTGAGAAAAGTTTGAACAGGAAACCGTGTCCTAGTCTTGCCTGTTTCACTAGTAAGTTCATGATGAGTTATGTAATGTCACTGAGCTTTATGTCACTTCTCAGAAATAGGATGTCTACCTATATTCTCCAAGGGCTCATTTCAATGGAAAAATTCAGCATTTCTGTGATTTAATAACTAGGTATTTTTAAAATGGATTTTAATCTTTTGGAAATGGCACAATATACATCTGGTCATAGTTTGGGACAAAAACCAGATGAACTAACCCCCAAATAACATAACATGGCTGCAGAAATCATGATGGTTCATTCTGAAATCATGACATTGCCTTTATAGTATAGACATATTCTGGGAGATAAAGGCTCTATTTTTCTCTCTTCTCTCATTCTTGGCATACAAATAGGATCAGTTTCTGTTGCGTCCTCTCTGTTATTATCTTTCCATGAACATGCTTTGTATAAAAATAGCAGTAACTTTCCCAAGAAGAATATTAAAACTGGCTCCAAGGCACTAGGGAATCTAGGCAGAGCTCATATTATTATAATAGCTGTAATACAGGAATGGCAAATATTTCTCTAAACAGAATAACAAAATTTTAATCAGACAATCTGTGTCATGTGGTAAAGCATGAAATCATTTTGCTTTTGGCTCCTTTTTGACCTGGGAGGAAATGGCTTTGTGAGCTACCTAAAATTAATTCAGTAATGGTTTATGATTGGTAGGTTAACCCATGTTTCCCACAAATTGAGGTAACTTAAGGAACTCATGACAACTCTACAATATAGTGCAAAGCACAGTTTTGTTAAGGAGAAAGAATGCAAGAGTGAGCATGAGCTCACAGGGGCCCTAGACTGTGAATGTTAGTATTGTATCCCATCAGATTAACCTTGCTGCACTGCTGGAAACACTTCACTCTGTTTCCATTAGTTCTTAACCAGGCTTTACACAATAAGCCAAAAACACACGACATTTTAGCCATTAAGAGCAACAGTCAACAAATCTGTTCACTCCATAAGTGCATCAACACTGAGTGTTCTTTTCATCCTTTCCCAACACTTGCCAGACACCTTCTCTGCCTTTCTGTGTTCTGGTATAGGTTCTATGTTTAGGAAACAAACACCCTATTGTGTATCAGTTGAATATAGTCACAAAGGTGAGGCAAGTTAGAATGTGTCTCTAGATATGCCGGAAAATTCAAGAAGAAAAATGATGCAATGTTACTGAATATTAAATAACTGAGCATTTAGATTATTCAACTCTACAATCATACACGTTGACAATAAAAACATTTAGTATAGCACCACTTTTTAACCTAAGAAAATATACACCACAGAAAGCAAACTTCTAGAAAGTAAATTAATAGCTGCCTGTCTAGAATAGATTGTAAATGGCATACGTGTTCCTACTGGAGTTGACAGAAATGTTTGAAAACTGAAATAGATGTTGACTGTGAAATTCTGATACAAACATTTTATGACATGCTAATTACCCCTCAGAAAAACTGCTAGAGAATTTTTTTACAAGAGGCAAACTCTAGATAACATTTATAATTTCTAGCCTTTATTTTTCATTCAGTTGGAAAAACTAATTTATAAAAGAATTACAATCTCTACAACAAATTTCAAAATATGTGGGAAACTTAAGATGAATAATCAGAAATGCCACTTTACTGTTGCAATTCATAATCAAGCCTGCTTATAATTCAGCTGTCCCAACTGAATGAAAAATAACAACTACAAATAAGTCTGCTCTGAATTTCAGGCAGATTCACAATGAGAAGAAGAGCAGTTTTATGACTTGTGGCTCAGCTAACTTGATAGACATGGCAAAGTACAATGTGCATTGTTTGGGAGGAACATGCTTACTGTCATGGAAGGAAAGTCCAGCATTCTACCTAGGTGTTCAAAAAGCCACCCTACAAATGATCACTGGATTGCATTTCCCAACACTCCCTAACAACAGCAACGAAGCACTTCCTTTTACCATTAGTAGATGACAATTGGTTCTCTAATTTTATCT